GGCAGAGCCAGCGCGGCGCGCACACCGTCCGAGCCGCGGCCCCGAGGGGTGCCAAAGCCAGCCCGGCCCGCGCTGTACCACCGTCGTACCGAAATCGACCGGCACGTTACCCTACATGGCACGCTAGCGCGGCGTGGCGTGGCGTGGTGGTCCGACCCAGCCCCAGCAGCGCGGCCGGCTAGAGCGGCCCCAGCCTCCAGTAACAGGTGTCTTTTACTACAGCCGGGGCCGCACACTCCCCTACCCGACTCTCTCTCTCTCTCTCTCTCTCTCTCTCTCTCTCTCTCTCTCTCTCTCTCTCTCTCCCTCTCATTCTCTCTCCCTCTCTCTCTTTCTCTCTCACCCACCACGCTCCCTTTCCTACCCCAGCCCACTCTCCCAGGGGCGAAATGACTGGGCGAATTCATGCAAACGGAACAGAGCGGGCGTGGCGGGGCGTGGCCTGGCGGGGCAAGGCGCCTTCCCAACCCCTTCCCCTCCTCCCGTATGCCGCGCGCCCGGCTGAGCTAGTCCGGTTCCGCAAACCTTCTGCATCGGCCAAATTTCAACGCCACACTTCCGCGAGAAAATTCACCACTCGGCTTAGTTCTTCAATTCTTAATTTTAGTCTTTCTCATCACAAAATAACTACTTGCATCGCCGCTTTGTGTCATTACTACTAGGAGTTTATTTTGGTATTTTTTTTAAGGTATAAAATATAGACTGGACTTTCAGTCGCATACCGGGTGATGGGTAATAACGCGTTTGCGACGAGCTGGGAGCTGGTGGCTGACTGAACGCCCCACCCTCCCCCACCGCGCCCCAACGCGCCCCGCCCCGCCCGCAGCCAGTCGGCGCAGCAACAACAGAACACATAACGGTAGGGCGCGCGGTAGGTAATACGATTTATTCGCAGCCGTCCAATATTTGGAAAGAAAACATTCGCCCGGGCGGAAGGGGCGGACGCCGCGCCGCTCTGCCGAGCTGTGCAGAGAGGGCTGCTGGCCGGCGGGGGCGGGGGCGGCCCGCGAGTCAGAGGGCGAGGTGTGTCGCGGCGCGAGCAAGCCAACTTCCCCGCGC